GGATTCCAAATTCCAAGCCCTTGCTCTAACCCTCCTGAGCTGGACAACCTCCTTTTTCCTGCACGGACTCTTTTCACACACACACACACACACACACACACACACACACACACACGCTATGTAATGTCCCCAAGTCTCAATGTGATATCTGTAAAATGGGAATAAAAATACTCATCTCCAGGGTAGAATAAAACAGAATGTGAGCTGTATGTAGCCCAAGGCCAGGCATGGAGGAAGCATCTGGTGTGGTCACAGGGACCAGGTCTCTGCTGTGCTGGGCCAGGCTGGGCTCTATGTGATCCCGACTCCCCACCTGCCCCTCCCTCTTTGTCCAGGAATTGTCCTCCTTGGGCAGCATCACTGGGCTCTCTTGCCTCTGGTCACCTGTTGGGTTTGGCCAAGGGCAGTGCTGGCTGAAGACTGGAGGGAAGGAAAGAGAGGCACAGCCCTGACTTCCCCACTTCCTGTGATGGAGACGCTCTAACAGAGCAGCCTCCTCTCAGGCAGCCTCTCCCTGAGCCACAGCCTCCTCAGGGCTCCAGTGACTGCTCCCTGTCCCTCTGCCCTGGGCCTGGGGGAGGTGACAGCTCCCACTGCTGTGAGCCTGGGGCACTGCTCTTCCTTGTGGTTTCCCTTAACGCCACCCCTGCCTCTGGAGGTAGGTCCTTCCCTAAACCCTCTGTAATCACTGGGCAGATGTGGCTGAATCAACCCAACTCCACCTCTGTGTCTCTGATTTCCTTCATCTCTTCATGCTGTGACCTTTGCCCAACCTCCCTGTCCTTAGCAGGCACACCAAAGCCTTCAGGGAGATGATGATGTGTGCTCCTTAAAATGTAGCCATAAACAGTTCTGTTAATAACACTAGAACGACATGACAAGGAGGTCAACACCAAACATGATGGTACCGATTATAAAGAACTTTCCACCACAAGACCCCCAGGAGGTATGGCTGGTGCTGCCACACTCTTTGTCCCTTTGTCCTGTCAATCATTGATACCCAAGTTATACTGTAAAACAATGTACTGTAACAGGTCCATGAGTGGTCAATAATATGTGCAGACTAACACGTAGTCTGTCCGCTCCAGCCCCTCACCCCTGTGAGTAAATGACTCTGTAATACAGTCTGTTATAATATAAGGAGTTGCCTACATCACTTTTATGTCTTAAGAACCTTTTCCTGACTGTGGTCATTACCATCAGACACACACCCATTGTGAACAGGCCATGGCTTCCCTCTTGGAGTTTTGACCAACACACACTCATCACCTCGTCTAGTCTTAAATCCACCCTCACATAGTAGGAATGGCCACCATCATCTCAAAGGGACTCAGAGACATTGAACACCTTGAGGAGCCTCAGAGCAGAAGGGGCAGCACCTGGGTCAGGTCACCTCCTCCTTCTCCCTCCAGCCCCTGCCCCCAGCTGTACCCCTCATGCCTCCTCCTTCCCACACAAACCTGGGGAAGCCCAGGGCAGCAGCTGTCCCTGGCACTCTTGGAAGCAGATGGGCACACAGTGGGGAGCTCATGTTACCCGCCCAGATGTCCCCCAGTCAACAACTGGAGAAGAAAAAGGGAGCCAGGCCCCTCTGTTGTTGTCCCAAGGAACACACTGTCATTCACTCACCAGGTTGGTAAAGGGCCCTCTTCCACTCTGAAAGGAAGGAGACACAGGCAAGGAAAGGTCATCATTTCTGTTCTCCCCCCACCATCCTCCTCACTGAGCCTCTTCCCTCTCCTTCCCACCAATATCTAGTTTCCTTCCTCCACAGCTCTGAGGAGGAGGCATAAAAGCTCTCAGAATGTGGCCTTCCCTCCATCACGGTGGGGCTGTGGGTGACGGGGCCTGGCTGTGCCCAGGTGTGGGCGTGTGTGGTAACAGGTGAGGGGACACTGGAGCTGGGAGGTCCTCTCTGGGTGTCCAGAGAGGCAGAATGGTCCTCCACAGAACATGAGCTCTGAGCAGGGTCTGATGCTCCCTCACCAGCACAGAAAGGGTTTAAGGGCTTTGTACACAAGTGCAGGAACCAGAGAGCATGAGTCACTCACCAGCATAGGCCTGAGACCTCTCACCTGCAAAGGAAGACAGGCAGGGTCACCTCAACTGTCATTTCTCAGTCCTTCCCTCTCTCTTCCTGTTGACCCCCCACCTCCCTCTCCCTCTGCCTGTTCAGTTCTCTGCTCCCTCCTCCTCTTTAAAGTCACCGGCACCTAGTGACCTGCAGGCACCGAGTGGGGCTTTCCCAGCTGCACCTGCAGGTCTGTCCTGTACGTGTCTGTACAGCAGTCTCCTTTAACCATCGTTTCACTTTCTGAAGTTTCAGTTACCCTCTGTCACCCACAATTGGAAAATATTAAATGGAAAATTCCAGAAATAAGTAATTCATAAGTTGGACTTGCACATCATTCCAGTAGCGTGATGACACCTGTGCCATCCATGTCTGACATGCCAACCTGAGAACCATCCCTGTGCCCAGCACGTCCACCCTGTGTTCCTCCCATGAGCCACTTTGTCACTGAGGAGCCGGCTCTATGGTCAGATCTGCCTCAGCATCACAGGGCTTGTGTGAAAGTCCCCTGATGTTACTTAATAATGACCCATCAGTTGCAATGATAATGGCCAGTGGGGTGTGGCAATGAGAAGCCTTCCTTTAGGTGAGGAGAAACCTACTACACACAGGGTGTGGTACTATCCCTGGGCCAAGCACCCACTGGGTCGTGGATCCCATGCCCCTGACATATGAGGTGACTGTCTTTGTCCTGTACCTGGCATAGGCTTACTGTGTGCATACGTGTATGCATATGTGTGCTGAAATCCATCGATCTCAATCTGCATGATTTCCTGCCATATTGCAAAAAGAATTGGGTGACTTAATGAGAAAATTTCAGGCACTACTTTTCAGCAGTTATGACAAATCTGGGACAACTGACACCAGCCCCTTTTCCTTAGAAGAGAATGTTCTCTCTCCTTCTGGTTTCCTCTCAGCAGCTTATAGATTCTGTAGTGCAGCCGGGGAGGGAGGACTCACATCATGAATCCATCTCCCCTCTCCTTTCTGGGGTTCCCTGGACATCCGGGTGCGAACGGCCTGGTGGAGGGAGCCTGACCCCTTTCTCCAGGGAGGAAACCCTGCCGACCTCCCCCATCAGCGTCCTCATTCCTTCCCCTGGGCGGTCAGGGGTGAGGAAGGGGCTGGACAGGTCCCAGCAGAGAGTCTGAGATGCAGGTCCAGGTACTCACTTGCCAGGTACTGCTGCTTCATCCTCCCTGTAGGGGAAACGGGAGGGGTCGGTGAGGAGGTTAACCAGGGACCCCAGAACCCACATGACCCTGGTTGGGACTTACTGAGCTCCTCCTGCAGCGTCTCTGGAAATAAGCAGAAAGAGAAGGTGCTGTCATGGGGCCGGAGGGGGGACCCGCGCTGTGGGTGGGCGGCCTAGGGCGGGGAGGTCCCCCCACCTGCAGTCAGGCCTCACCTAGGGCGCTTCCCTCCCGCTGCTTCTCAGCCAGCGCTGCTTCTTTCTCAGCTTGCTGCCTCTCCGTCCCCTGGATCAAGGCCTGGATTCTCTTCTGCTGTCGCCCCCGAGAGATCACCGTCCCGAACAGGAGCACCAGCAGAGCCAGAATGGTCACCCCCACGGCCACCTGCCAGGGCTTCGGGCTGGAGAAGAAGGGGCCTGCGGAGGGGAAGCCTCAGCTGCTCGTTGGAAGGGGCGCGGGGTCTCCAGGAGGGGAAGTGACATTTCTCTTCCCAAAGTGCCCAGAACTCTCCCGTCACACAGACTAGTGTCCTCATGTCTGGCTCTCACATGGGAACAGTTAGAATATAATGTACCTACAGTCATTCCAGTCTCCTCAACTCCCTCCCCCATGTATCAGCGTCTCT